ACAGGCATGTGCCACCACGCCCAGCTAATTTTTTGATTTATTGTAGAGATGAGGTCTCGCACCAAGTAGCCCAGGCTGGTCTCAAACCCCTGGGCTCAGGCAATCCTCTCACCTCAGCCTCCCAAAGTACTGGGATTATAGGCATGAGCCACCACACCTGACTTAAAAATCAATTTTTAAAAAAGAAAATTCTAAATTATATATGTGGCTCACACTTGTGGCTCATATTATACAACTATTGGGCAATGCCATTCTAAGCCATCATATGCCCAAAACAAATTCCAAGTTTCTGAAGGTTCTACCCATTGGCAATCATAGCTGTATGCTACGGTTTGAATATGTCCCTCAAATTTTATACATTGGAAACATAACTCCCAAATTCATATGTAGATAGTATCTAGTGGGGTGGGGACTTTGGGAGGTAATTACCATGAACTGAGGTCATCAGGGTGGGGGCCCCATGTTGGGATCAGTAGCTTTATAAAAAGAGAGACTGAGCTAGCTTGCTGTTGCTCTCGAATCATGGGATGCCCACCACCAGATTATGGTGCAGCTCAAAGGCCTTCATCAGACACCAGTGCTATGTCTCAGGGCCTCCCAGCCTCCCAGACTACGAGCCAAATAAACATTTTTTCTTTTCTTTCTTTCCCTCCCTTCCTTTTTTTTTTTTTTTTTAAAGAAGGCAGGATTATTGAGAGAACAGAAAAGCTTCAACAATGGGAGGGGACCTGAGGGGGTTGCCGGTTTTTTTTGTTTTTTGTTTTTGGAGTTGGCGTCTCACTCTGTCACCCAGGCTGGAGTGCAATGGCAGACTCACAACCACTGCAGCCTCGACCTGCTGGGCTCAGACAATCCTTCTACCTCAGTCTTCCAAGTAGCTGGAACCACAGGTGCACACTATCATGCCTGGCTAATTTTTATTTATTGTAGAGGCGAGGTCTCGTGAAGTTGCCCAGGCTAGTGTCAAACCCCTGGGCTCGGGCAATTCTCTTGCCTCGGCCTCCCAAAGTGCTGGAATTGCAGGCTTGAGTCATCTCGCTTGGCCTTTTCTTTCTTAATTCAGGGGCCATGCTAATCTTCTCTGTATCATTCCAGTTTTTAGTGTATGTGCTGCCAAAGTGAACACTAAACTTTTAAATTTGAGACAGGGTCTCACTGTCACCCAGGATGGAGTACAATGATGTGATCATAGCTCACTGCAACCTCAAACTCCTGGGCTCAGGTGATCCTCCTACCTCAGCTTCTCAAATAAGTGGTACTACTGGTGTATGCCACCATGCTCAGCTAATTTCTCTAACATTTTTGTGTAGAGATGGGGTCTCACTATATTGTCCAGGCTGGTCTAAAACTCCTGGTCTCAAGCAATCATGTTGCCTTGGCCTCCCAAAGTGCTGGGATTATAGGCATGTGCCACTGCACCTGGCTAAAATTTTTTTCTGTATAAATTACCCAGTCTTGAGGATTCTGTTACAGTAACAGAAAATAGACTGACACTTTTTAAAGACTTAATGTGTTCAAACTTATTTCTGAAATTCCCACATTATAATGAATTTTATTTGTTTATTTATTTATTTATATATTTTGATTCAGGGTCTTACTCTGTCACTCCGGCTGGAGTGCAGTGGCACAATCACAGCTCACCACAGCCTCAACCTCCAGGGCTCAAGCAGTCCTCCTGCTTCAGCCTCCCAAGTAGCTGGGACTTAGGCGTGCACCACCGTGCCCAGCTAATATTTTATTTTTTTGTAGAAATATGGTCTTGCTATGTTGCCTAGGCTGGTCTCAAACTCCTGGGCTGAAGCAATGCTCCTGCCTCAGCCTCCCCAAGTGCTGGGATTACAGGCGTGAGCCACTGCACCCAGTCCTAGCAAAGAGTCTTAGTACTCATGAAGCATCTAGAACAAGGCCTGGTGCACTGTTGTGATTTCATATGGGAAGGGGACTGTCAATGGGACAGGGGAGGCTGACGGAGGCAGGCAGGAAGCCCAAGGAAGGATGAGGGGCACCTGGGCTTGTCGGCTGCCCCAATCTGGCTGGCGATGCCATCCATCCAGGAGAGCAGGTCGCGGGCTTGGCTGTGAAAGCGCAGGGCGTCGGCCGTGGAGCTCACGTGCAGGCGGGCGTCCTCGCAGGCTGCCAGCAGCTCCTTCCAGCCCTGCAGCACCTCCTGCTCCCGGCTGGCGATGGCCTCGGCATGTTCGCCCGCGTACACCGTCCGGAGCTGGGCTGCCCCTTCCTGCAGCTGCCGGACCTGAGGGGCATGCCGGGTCGGGCACCAGCCCTCCAAAGGCCCAGGCTCTACCCTCTGTCTCCCCCAGCTGCCTGAGTGCAGAGCCTCAAGATGTGAGGAGCCTGGGTCCTGGGATCCCACAACCGGGCCCCCTCATATCCGCTGCCTCATATCCCTTCGACTTGCCTGCTTTCTGCTTTCTAGACCCCTGCCGCACTTCTCTCATGTCTGCTGCCTCATTTTTCTTTGGCTTACCTGCATTCTGATTTATTTTAGATCTACTACCAGGTTTCTTTCAGTCCATTGGCCAGTGTCTTGTGGTCTGAAAGCTCTACTTCTATTGGGTCCGTCACCTATTTTTTTAGGCAGGCCCAGCCCTATCGTATTTCTTTTTTTTTTTCTTTTTTGAGTTGGAGTCTCACTCCGTTGCCCAGACTGGAGTGCAGTGGCCGCTCTCGGCCACCGCAGCCTCGACCTGCTGGGCTCCAGCGATCCTTCTGCCTCAGCCTTCCGAGTAGCCGGAACTACAGGCACGCGCTACCATGCCCGGCTGAGCCCTATCATATTTCTTTCAGGAAACCCCTTTCTACCCTGAGGTCTATTAGACAGGCAATCAATGACTTTCATTCTATTTATTTCAGACCCTCTACCTCCTAGGTGCCTCCTAGTCACCTCCTTCAGAATGGCCATTGACTTGCCATCAGCCTCCCACCCAATTTCTACTGGCCTTACTGTGGACGTACTGCTCACTCCGTTGGTTCAGTCACCTGATTTCTTTTGGAAAGACCCCTCCACTTCTACCAGATCTACCAACTAACCACTGTACATCTCTCAGCCTGATCCCTAACAGTCATCTGTACTATTTACAAACACAATTGTTCCATATTTAACTGCCAAGACCTGCAACCCAATTTTCTTCAGTACTGCTGCCCAAGTTCTATTAGGCCCACAGTTTCATGCCCAGCTGATTGCTCAGATCCACCTCTCAGTTTCTCTGTCTGATTTCTATGATGTGTTCTTTTTTCCATTAAATCCACTTCCATCAAATTACTTTCAGACAAATCCTATGATTTCTATTGGAGAACTGCCATCTGTCTAGTTTCTATCTGTGTCACAGCAAAATTCCTCTTAGCCTTCTTGAAATTTCCTTTAGACCCTGCAACTGGATTCAGTAAAATCCACTTCGAAGCTTTAAGAGGACCACTGCCCAATCTCTTTAGGAAGTACTGTCTAGTTTCTATCAGACGTACTGTACCCTTTTTTCTGCCACTACCTGATTTCTGTGCACAATGCAATCAGTCTATTTTCTTTCTTTCTTTCTTTCTTATTTTCTTTTTTTTGTGCCCAAACCCAGGATCTGTCCATTTTCTATCTACCCAGTTATCTAATTTCTCCCTGTCCCATGGTCTGCTTTCTGTCCATTCCATTGCCTGATTTCAGCCTGCGCCACAGCCCGATGTTTTTGCTTGCTCTGCTGCCCACAGTTGTCCAGGCCCCCCCACCTGCCCCCGTGGCCGCCGGCACCCCACCTGGGACACAAGGAGCTGCAGATCATGCTCGAAGGTGCGCAGGGTCCGTTGCATGGAGCTGGCGCTGGGTCTCGGCTCAGGTGGGGCTGTCAGGCGAGGCAGCCGCCTCCGCTTCTCCTCGATCTGTCCCTGAAGCTCTCGGGCGTCACTGAAGAACTTGTGCAGCTCCCGTGAGGCGGCCAGCAGCTGGGCCCGCGTGCCCATGAGCTCCAGCAGCTCGGCCCAGGCCTCGTTCAGCCCGTCCTTCCACTCGGCCATGGTGGCTGCTGCCGTATGGCCACACTCGATCAGCTCGTCCACCATCTGGTTCACAGCTGCCAGCCGCTCCCGCCCTGCCGTGCCCGTCTCGCTGGCGAACTCTGAGAACTTCTCCTGTAGCACCTGCCACCAGGAAGTGGGAGCACAGCAAAGTGGGCAAAGGAGCAGCACATGCCGGCCCCCTCCAATCTCCCATTTTAGGGTAGGTGTGAGTAATAACAATCGTCATCATACAGATAACATCTTTTTAGTTCATTTTTTATTTTTTGTAGAAGTGAGGTCTCGTTATGTTGCCCAGGCTGGTCTTGAACTCCTGGGCTCAAGTAATCCTCCTGCCTTGGCCTCCCAAAGTGCTGAGATTACAGGTGTGAGCCACTGTGCCCAGCATAAACATATTATCTGGCTGGGCTCGGTGGCTCAGCCTGTAATCCCAGTACTTTGGGAGGCCAAGGTGGGTGGATGGATTGCCCGAGCCCATGGGTTGAAGACCAGCCTGAGCAACTTGGCGAGACCTTGTCTCTACAATAAATAAAAAAATAGGACTGGGCATGGCAACATGCACCTGTAGTTCTGGCTACGTGGAAGGCTGAGGCGGAAGGATCGCCAGAGTCCAGCAGGCTGATGCTGGGGCGGCCATGAGCCTGCCACTGCACTCCAGCTGGGCGATGGAGTGAGACTCCAACTCAGAAAAAAAAAAATCTAACACTTATTGAACATCTACTCTGTAGCAATAATAGTAACAACAATAATACCTTACTAAGATGATAATAACAACACTGTGTTAGGAATTGTATGTGCCAAGCACGGCCCTCACTGCTTTATCTTCACTCATTTGTCTCACAGCAGAGCGTTGGGGTGGGCGCTATGATTACCTTCATACTATGGATGGGGAAACTGAGGCCCAGGGAACCTTAGCGGCACACACAGTGGGCTCTGGCATCACTGCCATTACTCACGACGCTCACCGAGACATGCTCGAAGTCCTGGCCGAGCTCGGGTGAGCCAGCCACCACCTCCTTCTCGGCGATCCAGTGCTCTAGCTCGTCCACCTGGCGGCTGAGCTGGTACAGCCAGTACTGCTGCTCCAGGCCCACCCGGCGCTCCTCGCCCAGCTCCTTGAGTGCCACGTACAGCCGGTCCACCTGAGACTGTCGCCGGCTGATCTGCTCGCTGGTGAGGGGACAGATGGAGCCTCCTGAGGTTTCCTGGGCAGAGCTGCGGCCCCTACCACCCTCTCTCAGGGCAGAGCCGTGTTTCCCTGGATCTTCAAGCAGGGTCGCGTCCCCTCAGGTCCCCTCGGGCAGAACTGTTTTCTGAAAGTCTCGGAT